CCATGAAACAATCACATGATAAGGATTTAGGCCCGTATCGTCAGTCGTCACTACAATATTGTAGGGCGCGTTTATGGCCTCCTTGATTGTCATACTCCTTTCTCTCCTAAAATTTCTAGATTACACTTGTCCCGTGTCAACGTCAGCGCTCTCATATTATAAAGATATGTTTTCTTTTTAAATTGTAGGAAATTTCAGGCTGATAAAACATGATATAACTCAAAAGCAAGCACAATTTGATGCAAATAGATGTTTGTGACATAACCTCAAAATAGAGCGCTGACACGGAGAAGTAGAAAACTATGACAATCAAGGAGGCCATAAAGGTGCCCTACAATTGTAGGGACGACTGACGATACGGGCCTTAGAATAATAACCATAATACTGTTTGAAAACCATTTAAAACTGTTTAAAAATACACAATATGTAATATATATTTAAATTAATACCCTAAAAATGAAAAAAATCATCTTAATTAGTGTACATTTTATCGTTTTTGCGATCTTATGACCATATATTTTAAATTTATAAGTATCAATAAAAAACATTTTCTATCATGTATAAAGCTTAATCCTTTATCAATCTCATACAATAATACTGCACATCCATATAAAAGTTTATTACACGCAACTATCATGCAAAACATACATATTTATTAACTTATGTTGTTGTTTATATAAGTTACATACCTACCTATATCAAAACTCAATTTTTGGGAAATTTTTATAAGTGTTAATATTTGGTATAGCTTAAAACATTATTAACCAAGTTATTCAATATTACTTACTTATTATCATTTATATAGTATTTTTCATATCAACATATTAGTGTACTTTTATTGTTGGCATTTTATTATCCAGTTTTTCAGCTTTACTTCAAATAACTCAAAAGAATTAAGTTGCTTCCAATCCTGCGGTGTCTGAAACCAAGGAATAAAACGATCTTTGCATTACATTTTTGTCAGGCTTTGGTACTTCCATGATATTCTTGTTTCGTGTCTCATATTAGTGTTGAATGAATGCATTTTTGTTATTTCTATTTTTATATTGAGATATTATTATTCGATAGAAATACTGCTGTCGTATGTAAAAAAAAATATTTCCTGGAGAAGTTCTATAGTTGGGTAACGGAATAGTTTATTATATATTCCTTTTAAAATAGTTTTTTTGGATGGTCTTTGATCGTTTTTGTGAGAACTATTTGCTCCCTCCATGCTGTAATAGCATAGTCCATATCAGTTTCTATTAATGAGCGGTATGTTATTTCTAAGGACTTAATGTTTTGATTTCAAGTACATATTTTAACGTATATGTTCTCAATTTTTAACTGTGTGTTCCACCAATTGTTGGCTATACAAGGTGTTAATAAAGTATGTAGACAAATATTCACTATCGAATCCTTGGTCAATTTGAAGACTAAATTTTCATTATGAACATGGGGGTCCGTATCGGCTTTCTTTTCGAGCTAGAACACTATCACTAAGGAATTATTATTTATTGAACAGTTGGTATAACCTATGATAAATTTTGCATGTTTTACAAGTTGCTGAGGCTCAATATGAACGAGGCTGGAAATCGTATTATTCTGTATTTTTCGAAAAAAGAAAATTATTTAGAAGATCAATAGTTTTGAACAGTAACATTCGAATAGACGACAGCATTAAAAATATCGAATTGTTTTTTTACAATAAATGTTCAAAGTGGCCACCTTCGACTTCAATACAGGATTCTTGTTTGTTACACATTGACTGATGAACTCTTCTGAAAATACTAGGAGTATTTTGTATAGTCAGACATGACTCAACAATTCTGTCATCAGCAAACTTACTATTATTCCTTTTGTGAACTGTGTGTATAATTCTGCTACATAAATATTGAACATATTTGTAGGATGCCGTGTTTGACTTTTTTTGTAGTTGCTTTCATTACCTTGCTGACACATTGGAATCTATCAGTTAGTTAGCTTGTCATTCAGTTAAGATAATTTCCTCTAAATCCAATATTGTCCAGAATGCAGTTGAAAAAAGGGACATGCTTCCCTAAAATCGCGAATCTACCCTATACCTGGCAACAGTGCGTTCCAGTCTGTCAATCGAGTCGCCGAGTGGGACGTGAGTCGATCGTCCAACACTACTGGCCGCGCTGTTGCCGGCTCGACGCTAATGGTGGAGATTCTGATAATTGCCACGACAGTTTATTGCAAAATCAACGATGAGTTCGCGGACAACCTATCACAGTTTCAACAGACATTCACGTTTATATTTAGAGAAAATGAAGAAGATTCTTAGGATCTGTGACCAATAATGTAACTAGCAGCTTTGAACAATTTATCTATAAACAAAATTGCCGATTCCAATCTTTTTGCTATAGTCTTTGTTTTTTTTTGAAGTTGAACCATCACGTCGTGTTCACCTAGCGCCATGAATTTCTAAAGGACCGGGTGTCTGACTAAAGATCCGACAGTACTGAACAATAATGAGGTGCGGTGGACCCACATTTTTATCGGATGAGTAAGACGCACATACTTGTGGTTGCACCCATACTTGCGACGGTCAACCATATATTCTTCATTCACGATTTTTCTTTTTGTCGAGCAACAGCATAGTATACGGAGTATTCTAATAGTAAGGTCACTCGGCAGTTAAGCCAATTTGTATCTACGTGTCCCCTTTGCCAGCAAGCAGGCAATTCTACGCAAAGTAGTATAGGAAGTACCTTCGCATCTGTTCGGAAAAATGTTCTCATTCGTTTTTTTTTTACATAATCCTATTCACATTTTTAAACAAAGTCCAAAAATGGTTCTTATCGCTGCGGACGAAGCTTAATCAATATTTTGGGTTATTCTAAACAATAAAGGGTCTTGTGATTTTTTCTCTAAAGTTCATAGTTGTCAAGATAAGTATAAGCATGGATTAGTATTCTATCTGAATATAGCCAACCTAATACTATATTCGTACGTCTGAAAAATCAGTCGATGTGAAAGAGATACCTAAGCGTCTTTTATGAGAGTTTGTAGATATATACCTCCTCTCCCCAATACTTAGGAATCTACTTTAAAAACGCTAGTATATCACAGATGGCGTTGTCACCAACTATACCGAGTGTTTCAAATTCGACCCTCACCATTGGGATCTCAGAATCGGTAAGAGATGCGAAGAAGCTTAAATGGGTCTTAAGTTGCGTATTTAGGTAACACACAAGATGCTGCTCAGAAAGTTTTGAAATCCAAAGTACTTTCGCAGAGAGACGCAAAAAAACGTTTTTCCCCAATTCGGTTTATCCTGACTTCATTTGTAGGGGCATTTTAAAATAAATTGCACTTTAACACTGGCACTTTGTCTCCTCTACAAAGTGGTTAAGGACACACCATATTGGGTTTTTGCACAGATGAATAGAGTTCTTAATGCAGATTCCAAAAATATATAATACAGATATGTCATTGATGGGTATTGCCAAACCTTAGTTATTTTAAAAAAAATAGAATTTTCCAGGTGGGCCTTGAAATTATCACATAGTCATTTGTTCTGTTGAAAAATTGCTGTTTTTTTCTGTTTTTATTTGAAATGGGATCTGAAAATAAATTGCATATTAGTATTACCACTCTTTCTCCTCTACAAAATTTGTATTCAAATTCTCAATTAGAAGTTTCTGCTTTCGATCCCCATCCTCAACTTTGTTTTTTCTTATGGACTTCCTATTGCGCAACCGAACACAATTTTTGGTCCTGCATTTAGTTATGAATATAATATATTTATTTAGGTCACGATAAACTTCACATATCTAATTAAAATGATATTATTTTTAGTAGTATTTAAAAGTACAAAATTCCAAAATATCCATATGGAAAAACAGAGTTGGTGATGGAAGCCGGAAAGAAGAATTGAAATTTTGACTACGCTGTTGTAGAAGAGAATAAGTAACAATGGCAACATCCAATTTATTTCGAAATCTTATAGTCAGGAAAAAATAAAAATGATTTTGTCATAAATCTGGTATAAAAAACAAAATTCTTTTTTTTTAATCAACTAAGGTTGGGCAATGTCAGTGTAAGACATGACATACATTTTTGGAATCATAATTAAAAACTCTATTCATCTGTGCAAAAATCCAGTACGGCGTCCATAAGAAAAAATTGATGCCAGAGGACCTAGACGAAAGTCATATTGAAATTCTGATTATGCCATCTTATAGAGAAGAAAACGTGGCTTTGTTATTGTGCAATTTATTTCAAATCCCACCACAAATAAAGCCAGGAAAAACTATAACAATGTTGGAAAAAATCGTTTTTTCCGTCTGTCTTCAGAATTACTTTGAATTTTGGAATTTTCTAAGCGGCATTTTGTTAGTTACCTAAATACGCAATTTTGTCTCTTTGCGAGAAATCTTCGATTAGACCGATCCCTCCTTCGAGACTGTCCAACACTAAAAATAAGTGTATTTTTTCCATTATACACGTACCTTTACTGTGGACATGCACGTTTCGATTGTAGCCTAAGTCTTATCAGCAGAACTGGGCGAGCCGATATAGTTCTTTTCACTTTTTTGGACGTTGTGCCACAATTCCATACTACATAATCAAACAGGTGACTAATGATACCATGTGCATAGCTCAACTTCCCTAAGGGAAAGCCGCATGCACACCCACATAAATTTGGTAATGTAGGACCGCTTTTGTTATTGACTTTCTGAAAATATAGGTTCCTTCATCAGCAACCCAAGCCTGACATACTCTTAAAAATGATCGGGCGAATCTTCCGTTGTTAACAAATTAAGCTGCTTCCGTTATTCTGCCCAGTAGCTCAGCTAAATTTTCGTTTGGCTTTGAGTAAACTTTTTCTTTCACCGCTCCCAGTAAAAAAAAATCGAGTGGATTTAAGTCAGGCGAACGTGCTGGCCACGAAATTATACCTGACCGCCCTATCCATCTTCTCGGATATTCCGAATCAAAATACGATGGACGTCTTTTAAGTTTTGCATATGGAAATAAAACAACACGGTAGGTAGTTTTAAATGACTTTATTGTTTTTCGAAGTATTCTCCACGAAGATTAATACACATCTGCATGCCCTCGAACCAATTTTCGAACCACTTATTCCACTCGTTTGCTGGCAGATCCAAAACGGCATTTTTGAATCCGTCAACTGCTTCTGCTGGTGACTGGAACCTTTGACCACGCAGTCTGTTTTTAATTTTCGGGAAAGTAAAGAAATCGTTAGAACTTAGATCGGGACTATATGGAGGATGGTCCAATAATTCCACGTTTTCTTCCGTTAAATACTGCCTTGTGTTTTGGGCTGTGTGCGAGCTTGCATTGTCTTGGTGGAGGATGATTCTTCTTTCGGGGTTGATTTTTCGAAGCTCGCGGTGACGACTTTTGGCAACTAAATGGTGGTATACCAATCCACAGTAACAGTTCTTTGCTTATTAAGAGGAATTGTTGCAATATGACCCGCTTTTGACACAAATGTCGCGACCATCTTTTTCGAAACACTTCAAGAACGGGTGACTTTTGTTGGCTTTTTTCACCTTGGAACACCCAAACAGTAACAGTAAATCCACGATTCGTCACCACCAGCAATGCTGTACACATTTTTTGAGTTTCCGGAATTGAAACGGTCAACCGTTTTTTGACACCAATTAACCCTGGCTGCTTTCTGCTCTTCACTCAACAGGTGGGGTATCCAACGAGAAACTAATTTTCTTACTCCTAATTCTTCTGTAAAATTTTTTGAATTGAGGTCTTTGAGATCTTCAAGGACGCCTCAATCTCGCCATATGTCACATGTCTATCTTCAATGATGAGTTTGCGCACAGCATCGACGGGATTGTCGCTAAGACTCACCCGTCCACGTTTGAATTCTTCATACCAACGGGAAATTGTCGACTGATGTGGCGCTTCGTTGCCGAAAACAGACAGTAACTCAGCAAGGCATTCTTGTTGCCATAATTGTCTCTGAAAGTTGTAATAAATTATGGCGCGAAAATGTTCTCGGTTGAGTTCCATTTTTCTAATGACTTGGTGACACTTAAAAATTCACTGATGTGTGAACACTGCACGTATTGTTGCGAAACTTTGAATTTAAGTTTACTAAAGAGCGGGGTTAAGATTCAGTACTGACGTTCGATCCGCGCCACCTATGTTTCTATATGCAAAACTTAAAAGACATCCCTCGTATTCTCGTACTGAAAGGTCATAGTGCGCTGGGCAGCCGTCTTGCTGGTACCACATGTCTCTGTAAATGTTTACTGGCAAGACATCCAATAAATTTGGTAAATGATTTTGTAAAAAGTCTAAATAAATTTCGCCACTCAAGAATTCTGGCAGCGCAAAGGGTATCTCCCATTTAGAATTCCGGTCTACCTATCTACTTTAAAACGATGCTGTGTTATATCTTGCCTCATCAAATGTTGATTTTCTACATGTCACTCGTGTAAGTTGTGTAGATTCATGTAACCACCTTTTTTAAATATCGATACAGCAGTTCATAAAATTTTCTCTAAAAATCGGGGATCTTCCCGGTGTCTCTGTAACATCGACAAAACTCACTTCTTGGAAGATAATTCCGCTGTACGTGGTACGGGTGGAGCTCGTTCTTTCGCAAGATTCTTTAACTGTACTTTTGGGCACTCGCGTGCTTGCTTCTATTTTACGACTGAAGTACTCGAGTCTTCTCCCACTGCTTGTAGGACGACGTCCTCGTAAGGAAAGGAAATTCTTCCTTCACCATGTGGTTCTGAGAATAAATGGTGCACATCCACAGAAACTCGGTGATCGGGATGATGATCATCAACTCTCACCTAGTTACAGCACTAGCGTTCCCAATAAATGCAGGTTGGCGTATACCTGTACGGTTTACCCAGACATGGTGGCACTACACAATGATGAATTAATGGCGTTAGTATCTGTCTCGCTGCCACTATGTAGAATGACACCGTCCGTCACCCCGTCTAAGCAGAAATTGAAATCTGTAGTAATGGGCACTAAAAGATCATCACAGGGTTTTCTTTTCTGATTTTTTGAATCCCATAAGTTAAAAGTATGACTTTATTTATATTCTTCGGTTAACTATTATGTCTTGATCTATTCCCCGTTTCCGGCTTGACATCGACTTCTTGGATACCCTGTATAGTAAAAATGTCAGATGTCTGGGAAGGTTTTCCGTACCGCCTAAAAGGTCCGAAAATATAAGGTTTCTCATCACCGACCCAACTATTCGATATCTGTACACACTGGCACAAGCGGTCATACTGTTTGCTCCTCATCATAAGTGGCGTAAGACGGGAAATTTAGTGCCTCGCTGTGCTCAGATTGTATAATACGATTTCGGCGGACAGAAACAGGACATTAACATGCCGGAACGGTACCGTTTGTGATCCGAGTTTCGTTCGCTTTTATGTTTTATCGTTTCGGAGAAATTCTCTGTACTCGGGAGCGCCGGACTTGCTGCGCAAATATTTTTTTTTTGTTTTCTACATTCCAAATATTGGCTGAAATGGATGTTTGCTTTCCGTAACTGTAACTATGACCAATCGCTGACAATGCTGCTTAGTGTTCATTAGCGACTCATCACTTTGGTATAGGTCTTAGAACTAGTCTACTCTAGTATAGTAAGGGATGGGGATGAAAAAATGCTTGACACACCCTTGGTTGATGACGATCGTCGGATTTTCACATACTGGCACACAATTTTTTCAAAAGACCATACCCATTTGTTTGCTACCCGTTCTTCTCCAAAACAACATCTAAGATCCACACCGCACTGCGGTGGGTCATGGTTACAGAGACGGAAAGCAAACATATATATATCCATTTCAGTCTTGTCTATGTATGCATATATGCATAGAAAGTAAATGCTTGGTTGCTCTGTGAATGATTAGCATTCCTTTTGACAATCGATCGTGACGCTGGTGCGGTGCGACATCTCTGTGCATAGATCAGAACGTTGAGCGATTATGAGCCAGAGGACGTAAGGATGTCTCTGTCTTATTCATCGTATCGCATGAGGATGAAAATCAGCTTGGCAAATATCATTAGTACTTGCGCACAATTTCAAATATTGTTTTTAGTCAAAGGAAAGCTTTTAGTCAAGATCGTGTATTTCTTAAATATTCATATAATTAGTCTAATAATCTCTTTACGACTTCGCTGTGCAAAAGAAGATGGTCAAACAGGGAACTTATTTCGTGAAAATTGGAAACATCGATCTGGGACCCTTTATTATGAGGTGCTATTCAATGTCCGAATACCCCAATACTCAACAACCAACCATTTTTTCGAAAAAGGTTTTAACAAAACTTTCAAGATATCAAAGGAAATGCGACTTAGATAATGAGCTAGAGATCATTTGGAAGTCACGTCTGCATACGTGAGGTCAAGTGGTCAAAAGTGGTCAATTCACTATGTAAACTTAACAGTTGTGCATTATTCTAAAAAAGGTTCTAACAATGGTGATTTAAATGATGACTTCTCGGCTCCAGTTTGCACGCAAGCGGTTTTTTGACAGCAGTTTCGTGTAGAGCTCGAAATTCTATATCAGAGTACAGATGTTGCTGTCAAAAACTGGCGGTTCCTATTTGAACTTACATACTTGATCCCCAAGCTAACTGTAAGGTCTAGACTATATTTGAGGTTAGAGATAAATTGCTTTTTACTTCCCACGCCTACTGCCGAGGAAGTATTGTAATCGCGAAAAATTCAGAAAATTATTGATTTTTTGATGCTGGTATATTTATGCGCTCCCAGCCTCTAATTTTACGCACCTATTAGACATATTTCACATCATGGATTTCCCCGTAGATTTGCGCTTAAAAATTGCTTTCGTTGCGCTTTCCTGTTTTCGGTCTCTGGGTTCACCGGTGGGCTTGCCGATTCTAGTAAATGTCCTGGCATTACTGCCGTGTCTGATGTGTCGTGCGGTCACCTGACCTATCGAGGAGCAGAGGGACAGTACTACCGGCAGGGAAATACAATTGTATTGGGCCGGTTTGACTGACTTGATCCGCTTATTAACTTGTACTGAACATAATTCTTTATCAACTAATGACGATGTTGCGTGGGATCCACCTGCTTGACATCATCTTTTGATATCCTGAACTTTTGTTAGCTTCATCCTTCAAAAGAATGTGTGGCTGATTATTTTTCTACTCATATACTCCAAACTATGAGACACTAACGTTTTCTTTATTCAACTTAGATACTTTTTTGGACGGTGAAATATAATAGTATTAGGTTAAGCAATGTATAAACATAATAAAATAGACTAAAGTTTACGAAATTTGGTGAAATTATTCAAATTGGGGAGCTGAATGCGGATATAATTTTAAAAAAAAAACTTTCTTATAGATCGTCTTTACTATACAACAAGTTTTCTCTTATTTTTTATTCATAACATTGCCATCATTTTCCTTCAAATTGTACGATGTTTTTCTTTTTCAGTGAAAACGGCAAGCTGGCATCGTGGGGAGCTGTCTTAGGTTTTCTAGTGATGATGACATTAGACGTAGGTTTAGGATAACCTTTGCATAGTGCTATATTAGTAGACAATTTAGAATTTATCATAAACGAACCCATCATACAAATTTCTTTTGTTAGTATAGTTTTATTAAGGTCGACCATTTGTCAAGAGTTGAAACACATTTGGATAGTATATAGTGGTAAAATATAAGGAATGTTGCGTCGATCTGTGGTTTTAATAAAATAAGTTATCTTTTATAAAAAAAACTTGAAAGCCGTATGAAATACTCACACGCTAGGTATTGTAGTGATCCTGAAAATTATTAAAAAATATAGTTCTAGTTTGTTAGGAGACATTTTATCCGAAATTGCTTTTGACGGATTTTCGCGAGACGTAACATTCATTATATTTTCCACACTGTTCATATCCTAAGAACTGATAAGCGTAGCATGGGTGCCCCTTGTACTTTGTTTGAATATTTTGTGTATGAACAATTTTATTGAACCTACTTAATTTTTAATATTTTTTAATCGAAAATAAATAAAAAGCCAAACTAATTAGAAAATCTAGTCAGAATATAGAGCCTAACAAACCCTTTATGATAAAAGTTGTATGCAAAAGTTGTAATATAAAGTTTTTCAGTCAATGTCTATTCCACAGCAGTGGTAACGAATAAAGTTGTATTTTTTAAAATGGAACACCCTGTGTGTTTTTAGTCAAAATATCATTAGTTTTTTCCTCATCTCAAATATGTATATGGTTTATTATGCTTATTATAATTACTTTAGTCGGAAACTTGAATTAGGTGC